CGCTTCATCAAAAAGTACTTCGCAGATGTCAAGGTAGTCAAGAAGAAGCATCTTGCAGAGGCATATGACAAAGCAATTCTAGATGAAACACCTGAAGGCACACAAAATATTGCTTCACTCATATGCGCACACCTTGTTCAATCACTATTGTATACAAACTCTGAAACCTACATCACTTGGAGTTTCCTCAAAATCTATACAAATGTGCACAGATAAACAAGTACAATTGGGCCAAAGGAGTAAGGGACTATTTGTTCAAGATGCTTGGAAAAGCAAATAAGAAAAAGATGGAGGGAGGAGAAAAACAACCACTAGTGGATGCACCATCTTTGTTTTGGTAAGTAACCAACATAGTTAATAAAAATCACATGAATTGTTTCTAACAAAGTTTTGCACAAACTAACATCACTTACTTAATTCATATAGTACTGGATATGTCTTCACACAAATCTAGTGAAGACAATAGAAGGACAAGAAAACATGATTTTGGCAATCACAAGATGGGACACAAGCATGATCTACCAAGCAATCAAGGATATCCCAGTGGAACAAATCAAGGTAATCACCAATAATCAATATATTTCACTTTGAAAATAGTATTTTCCTACACAAAAATAATTACTTATCATATAAAATGACACCCATCTAATGTGACTGTTTGCAGATTAAGGATGTCATTCCTTCTCAATAGCCACATGAAGAATCTACAAAGAAACGACGACAAAAAAAGAAGGCAAATAAAAGAAACCAACATGATTCTTAAGAAGATGAATCAAACAACCAAGATGAATCAAACAGAGAGGACATTCCACAACAGGTACAAAACAATCTACAAACAAAAAACTATCATATATGACCAAATAACATCTATAAACAATTAACTGATTCTACAAAAAAATGGTTCATTCAATGTGACTGTCATACTATTCAATAAATAATCGTGGCTTATTATGTGTTTATTCATAAATACTTTGAGTAATTATGTTGTAGTACCATAAATAGATTGTCTACTTCATAAACAGCCTTAGTTAATTTCATAAATAGTGTGTATATTTCATAAACAGTGATGGTTAATTTCATAAATAGTGTCTATATTTCATAAACAGTGTTGGTTATTATCATAAATAGTGTGTACATTTCATAAACAGTGTTGGTTAATTTCATAAATAGTGTGTATTTCATAAACATTGCTCAATTTCCAGAAAAAAAATGTTGGACATTTTGTGAAAATTAACAAAATATGTAATGTTATTGTGTGTAGGCTGGTTTTGAAATTCATTCTACTCAACCACAAGGACAATCTTCAAAGGAAAAAAGGCATAAAATGAGAGCAAAGAAATACAAGACAACTGATGCCAAAATTGATGATGTTCAATCTGAAAATGAAGAATAACAAAACATGGAGAACATAACTGGGCTTGGTCAGAATGTCATTAACAACGACGAAGGAAATGATCAGAATGTGAACAAGCACACGGAGCAAACTGATGAACCAGAGAATATCAGCATCAATGAAGCTCAAACAGAATTCGACAAACTCTTTGCTGAGGAAATAATCAAGCTTGATGCCACTGTCCAAAAACACATCATTGGCATGAATACAGTTATAAGTGAAGAGTTGTTTGATGAGTTCAAGAAAGCTAGCAGCATTGCAGAGAAAAGGTATATAACCTTCAGGGAAATGATGACGCATACAATGGATGCATCAAACAGAGAATGCTTGATACTCAGCCAAATGATCAAAATGCTGAACAGTGAAGTTGAAAAGCTTCTCCAAGAAATAGAGATTAATAAGAAGAATAACAATGCACTTAACACCAAAATGTTAAAGATGCAAACGAAGACCAATGCAAATAATTTGAAGATCAATAACTATCTGAAACAGATTGCGAGCTTGGAAAATAAGTTAAAAGAAACTCAATCAAGGGCGGCTGAAATGGAACCAATGTCAAATGTGGCTGAAATGGAAGTTGAAAGAACACCGACAACATCACCAATTATACCAATAGCGGAGCATGTTCAGAATGATGTCAATGAAGGAAAACAATATGTCACTAAGACAAAGGAAAAGACGAGAACATTGTTCCAGAATGTACGCGCCAGGAATGATTGCAAACAGAATCTTGATCCAGGATTCAAATATGGTCGCCTAAAAAAAAAAAAAAAGATCAAATACAAGTTTGCAGTGAATGACAGTGAGAGTCCATTGGTCATGCAATCACAAGAACAAACTTTGGACCCCGTCAATGAAAAAGAGAAGTAGGAGGATAACCCTAAAGGTGAATCACCTTTGAAGACAAAAGTTGAAGCAACACAAGTTCAAGCCACAAAAGTTGAAGAAACAAAAGGTGAATTACCTCTCAAGGCTTGTTTGAAATCCCATCTGAAGGCTAAAAAGAAGGAAACTAAGAAAATAACAAAAGGGGACACAAAAAGTAAATGCCCTTCAAGTAAAAGGGCATACAAGCTGCTAGACCAGTATTACAGACAATGTGAATTGTAAGTTTACATTATTGACAAATTTTTTTTGGATATAACATTTAAAATTATTTACTGCATAAATATGTATATGTATAATGTTTTTTATTTTATTTCTTACACAGGGACTACTTTTGGTTGATGCCGAAGACAAGGAGCATGGCCACTGAGCTTGTTGTGTTGAGAAGTGATTTGACGTCATTGTTTGTTAATGAACCAATTGACGCGAAATTGATTGATGATTTTTTCTACATCAAGTCAGAAAATGAAATGAAAGAGGGCAAGGAACAAAATCTCTATCTTTCCTCCTACATCTTTGTAAGTACCAAAAATATTTTTTTCTACAAATATGTGGTTCTATGATTTCATAAATATAGTATAACAATTAGTTCATTTTCATAAACAATGTATTTTTCTTGTTTTAAGTTTCTAATTAGTCATTAGTTCTTAGTGCATTTTAATAAATAGTGCCCAGTTGTTCGTCCAGTTTCATAAACAGTTCAAGTTCTTAGTCAACTTTCATAAAATAGTGCCCCAGTTACTTGACCACTTTCATAAATAGTGCCTAGAAAACTTTTGTCCATTTGTTTAATATAATATGTCTTTGTATTCAAACAGAATGACATGGAGATACAAAGATCAAAGAGTGATGACGAATACCTTGACCAACGTTTGAAGACAATATTGGAAGAAAATGTGGACAAGGTTGGCAATGTATTCATCCCGATGAAGCACTACTTCCACTTCACATTGATAGTTTGGGACATCTAAAAACAAACAATGACTCATTATAATTCAAAACTACCAAGGATTGAAGGAGGCATAGACCAATATTTTGACCATGCTTTGCAAGTGGTAAGGATAAAACCTTAAATAATCCATTTTATGTACTAAATTTCAAATGAAAACAAATTGTTTCATACAAAACATTCTATTTCTTTCTTTTTTGCAGCAAGACAAGATCCAAACAATATAGAAGGACTTCAAGAGTGACATCACCTTAACAATAGATATTGAAAGCTACAAGACTTGTGCATAACAAGAAGAAGACTCGTAAGTACAAACTTTATAATATCTAGAGTTACTCTAACTTCAAATATAAATGACATCATTATCTGTCATCTAATACTATCGAGTGATGTATTCATCTATCATACTTATAGTTAAATTAAAAAATGCAGGTTCGATTATGGGATATTTGTAATTCATTGTGCACAACAAGTACAAGAGGTGAATCATGCAAATAGATGGTTATAATGAAGAAAGAAGGAATTATAACTACATTGGTGAATCATGCAAACAGTTATTTGAATGGACTGCAAGGGGTGCTTGAAGAAAGAAGGAAATCAAGGACAAAAGCAACAATACCAGATGGTTATAATGAAGAAGACATTATTAACCTGTAAATGTAATTTCATATTGCATTATATGATTGGATATAAAACAATGGTGCAATTTTTAATAGTTTTAACTTCATTTTATATTATGAAATTCAAATTATATATTACACACCATCCGTGGCGTTTATATATGAAGTTCGTGTCAAATTTCAAATTATTGTTGAATTTGACAGCAAACACTTCTCCTTGATAGGTTTGACTTGTGACATTTATAACAGTTTGGCCTTAATTAATTACATCTATTTGCAAAAAATAGACATATAAATGAAAAATGCCAATGAACACTGTTTATGGATAAGTTTGTACTATTTCTTAAACTAATATAGGCATGTGAGATTATGAGGGTAGAGATCAAGCAAGTTGATTCAAGTTGCCATATTTCTACATTGTTATATCCTATTGACATAAACATCGTTCTAAATCTTATTAATCAACACCAAAAATAAAAAATTTCAACCTATTGGTTATTTGGAAAAGCAGAAGTAAAACAAACAAAAACCCATTTAATATAAAAAATATTATTTAGTTTACACTATTTATGAAACTAAAACAAAAATATATTTATTATTTGTATTTTAAAAATTACAATAAAAAAAAGCCCAAACAATTTAGTACAAAAATCAATTTTTTTTTTTTTATAAAAAAAAAAGCCCAATCAATATAGTACAAAAATAATGCCCAATATATGTCTAAACAATACCACTTACCCACTCCATCCCCGTGCAACAACAAACTTCCATCAATGCATGCAGCCAATTTTCCATTTCCAGAAAACACAGTACAAAAAACCGAGCAAATGGTCCTCAATTATCCATATCATCCAGTCTCCATCATTTAAGCTCTTCGCAGATAAAACCGAGTAAAAGTTGTCGAACTCCATCAACAACTTCTTCGCACAAATCTACGCAGAAAAACCCAGGGTAACAATCTTACTATATTCCTCCACAAATTTAAAATTTTTATACTTAGTTCACTACTTGCATAAACAGTCTCCAAAATGAAAATCTGTTACATATCACCAATAAACTATCATCTCTCAAAAGATCAACATCTTGTATAACAACGTTACATGAAACCTTGTTATGTCCCGAACATCCACACCTGCTACAAGTGACGGTCCTCTTAAGTCTCGCTAATTTCACCAGCAGATTTAATCCTACTTTTCTTTGGTCTTCCAGACGGAATCTTCGTAATTGGAAGCCTTACACCATTTATGATAGTATCAACATTCGGCTTATCCAAATCTGAAAATGGATGCATCACAAACTGATATGTTTGCCGATAAAGGTTTGTTTTCCAATAATCATCAACATACTCGTATACTTCATGACTATCATGTTGCAACACTTGCAATGCATGAGAACATGGAAAACCATTATGCTGCCATTGCACACAAGAGCATGTCTTATCGTCCAAACAAACAACAAACCGATTCCATTCCGTCCTAACTTCAAAAACATCTTCATCAAAACGACTAATCCTCCAATACATGCCTTCCTTCAACAGCAACTTCATCTCATTTTCTTTCTTTGGACACAAATTGTATGAATAGTTTGACCAAAAATTCTCTTCTCAGCTATACTAATCATTAGCCGAACTCTAATATCTTTAAGAAGATCCATAAGTGGCATACAACAACTATTCGACACTATAGCATTAAAAGATTCTGAAAGTGCATTGTTTATCGATCCCCATCTTTTACCAGGAAAATGGGCAATAACATAATTCTCTTTTGGTAAATCAGACAAAATTATTCACATGTCCTTGCCCGTTATTCTTGAATTCCGCAATGCAATCATCAAACTCAGATGGAGTACATGTATACGCACAATTTGCTAAAAGATTCATCATTTTCTTCTTTAGTCCCTCACCAGCTGCCTTTGGAAATAAAGTACTGATATTTTGTTTCAAATGAACAATACAAAATGAATGTGGAGACTCAGGAAAGAATTCTGCAACGCTCTTCAAAATATCATTATGTCTATCTGACATAAACGTGATCACCCTATCTTGAGGCCTCAATATACCAAATAATATTGACAAGAACCATCTCCAATTTGCTATCGTTTATGAATCAACAATAGCATAAGCAACCTCAAAAATCTCTGCACAACAAAATGGAAAAATGTACTATCAAAATATAAACTACTTCTGAAACTCCGATTAAACTATTTCTTAAACTGTGTTTGGAGTATATCTGCAACTTTTATTTCCTTTATTTAATAATAAAATCAAATATATATGCACAACAAAAAGAAATAAATAAAGTCAATTGTCAACTACTTATCAAACTGTGATAGAACTACTACTACAAATGTCATGGCACTATTTCCTAAAATTGTGATTCGACTATTTATGAAAAGTTTTTGCACAGCAAAAAAACAAAAACAAAAGAACAAATGATATTGAATGTAAAGTCGAAAGTATTAACTCACCGTCGTTCCCATTTTTTGCACAGTAAGATAGAAGTGTGCCCTTGTATTTGCTCTTGATAAAAGTACCATCAATGATAACATCGGGCGACAAAACATGAAACCTTTTATCCATGCATCATAAGCAATAAACAAATAAAGAAATCTATTGGTCTCCGGTACAACTTCAAGCTCAAACACATAACCGGGATTTCTTGAATGGGCATATTCAACATACCAAGGCAAGAACTTATAAGCATCAGCATCATCACCATTTAGTTCAAAAACTGTCCTCTGTTTGCCAAAGTATGCAGTAGCATAATCAATATCTAATCCAAAAAACTGTTTTAAGTTTGAAATAATCTTATTCGGTTTAATAAGAGGATTTGATTAAACCTTGTCCTTGATGAGAGAAGCAACAAATTGCAGTCCAACAACTTTGTTTTTCTTCTTTTGAATCATACCCTTGCACGTATGCACATTATGCAATTTCCGAATAATGAAAAAGTTATTAATATCACACTTGGATGCATACACACGTCAAAAACAACCATCAGATTCCTTCCTAGAACACTCAGCCTTAATGCAATTCTTTTCATTCTTCAAATACTTCAATTCAAAACCACATTCAACATAAAACTTCTTCACCATATCTCGGAAATCAACACAACTTCCTCTAAAAACTTGACCCTCAGATTCTATATAACTATCTCATTCACATGACATATAATTATGGATACAATGAGAACTGATGTGATATATTCTAACACACAAATTAAACCCTATAATTGTAGTATGTGTAAGTAGGGATCGTTCTAGGGCGGGGATTAGAAGGGATGCTAATCTACTCAAATTAAACTCTAAAACACTAAACTAGACTCTAAGACTCTTAACTAGACTTATATGACTCAAAACAGACTAAAAAGACTCAAAACAGTACAAAACAATCAAATAAACTCAATCTAGACACTAAAGGGTGATTTGGACGAATTCTAACTTAACTTTGACTCAAAACACTTAAAAACATAAATTTGGACATATTCTAACTAAAAGACACAACCAAGTAAAGGGGGATTGGATTTTGGACAAAATTAAGGTAAAAACAAGCAGATTGTAAACTTAAACTAAGTTGCATGAAATTGGGGTGAATTGATGGGTGATAGGCTAGCTAGATGGTCATTCTCCACACATGACACATATGCATATAAATCGATTTCTAGTTATTATTCCTATAAACCATGAATGACAACGCCCCAAATAAATCGTGAAAAGCACAAATTAACTTTCATATTTTCCTAAATTCATTGAATTGGATGGAATACGCATCGGCAACCAAATTATTCTTATCAAGTTCCCTACATGAACAACATAATAGAGATACAATCAAAGATCATTAAGCTTTGTGAAAATCATAAGCATTGACAAGGCATTCGTAACTATGAACTGCATGATACTCCTGCCATGGACTTACTTAACACGATTGTGACTAGAAACCTCCACTACCTGTAAATATAAGTTCATAACGATTAGGTGAAATTCCCTTATATTTTAGCATCAAATTCATGCATGCAAACTAAGTAGGCCTCCTTAATCAACATACAAGAATAAGTTATCAATCAAACATATAAGTAAATTGCATTCATGTTTTACGAAACAATAACTGGAGGAAATCAATTCATATCACATTTATGTTCATGGCTTTGAATTCACCTCTAACTAAAACGAATTTAGTTCCTCATGTTCGCAAAGCAAGGATAATTAAATTTAAACATTGAAAACAAAGAATAGAATACACCTAGAAACGCTCCAACAATCCAACGTCTTGAATGGAAAGCACGACTCCACGTGTGGTGGATGGTGTGGTGTGAAATTGTGGTAGAGGGTGGTGCTCTGATTTGTGCGGCATAATGAGGTATTTATAGGCTAGGGATCACACAATTTCTGAAGGAAAAAGGATTGCACAATCCTAAGGGAAAATGACTAAGGTTACACGGCAGAGACCAAGGGGGAAAGGGATTTAAAAACCTGCAGCAAGGAATAGGCCTTCTAGAAAGGGTATTGTGGCAGATTTCTAGAAGGAAAGGGATGAAATATGTGGCACAAACTTAGGGCACGAAAATAGGGCTTCTAGAACCTGATATTTAGGTGATTTAATGTGAAAAGGAGTCCTCTTTGTAGCTGGAATTAAGGTGGAATAAAATTAGGTTAGGATAAGATAAGATAAGGTTGGATAAGGTTTAGATAAGATAAGGTAATTTGGATAATGTTTCCTTCTTCATGGCTGATTCCTTATCCTTTTTAATTTTTCCAGATGTTAAGCACATTCCTAGCCTCTTTTGATCTTCAATTTCGTTCATCCACCTTGCTCCATGCATATGCAATCCATTCCAAGCCCAAAACTGCTCCAAATAGCTCCAAATTGCACTTTCTTGCCAACTTTGTCATTTAAACCTACAAATACATGGAAATAGCTTAAATCACTATAATAAATAGAAACTAACTTACTAAATGCAAGAAAACAAGCTAACAAAGTCGCATAAATATGCTCCTATCAAGAACCATACTTCCCTAAATGATCATTTTCACTAACAACAATCTTAAGTTTGATGTACGACAAGATGAAGATATGTTTTCCGTAGGTAATTGAACTATAGAACCATCACATTTATCAATAACCAATATTTCTATGTTGGATTTTCCAACAACATCAAGAACCTTCAACATATTCATAACGTCGACATCATAATCTAGGAGACAAATAGAATCTTCTTTCAAAGCATATCGCAACTCAAACCAACCAAGTCTCAAACCCTTAAACCTAGAACAAATACCAATACAAATCTAATCGAATGTAGAAGTTGATGAAATAGAACTAACAACGGATAACCCATCATATGTAAATTGAGCTGGTTTACAATTCTCCATAACTAATGAACAAAAAAAAAAACAAACAAACAATTACAAATCAGTACACAAATATTATATGCATATATCAAAAAAACAACAACAAAATGTAAAACACAACAACAACTATTTAATAATCCAATATTGTAAAACAAAACAATAACTGTTTCAGAAAATCATATTTATATAAAATGAACCAAAAACTAACAATATTTCTAAAACAAAACATCAGAAAACAAAATTAAAAAGCTAAAAAGTACTTTAATAACAACTATTTCATAAACTATTATAGAACTACATCCACTATTTATGAAAAAATTAAAAACATCCAGCGTGATGAATAAATCAAGACTTACCTGCAAATTCTTCAAAACAGCAAGATCAAAACTGAAAATTTCAAACGAAAAAAAAAAAAAAAAAAAAAAAAAAAAAGGAATCAACTACCCGATATATTGTAATTTGAGCACAAATTAAGACAAAATATATCAGTCAATGCAAAAACTTGAAAAACTATGAAACTAGAATCTCAGAACCTGTGATGCAATGCCAATTACCTCCAAAATTATGAAGAACAGTGATCAATTACAAAACTTCAGTGAAAACAATGAACAACGAAGATCACAAATCCAAAAATTAAAAAAATAAATAAAAAAAAAAATCCCAGAACCTTTAGTTTCGGAAAAAAAAAAAAAAAAAAAACCCTAAGAACCTTCAATGAACCTTCAATTGAAGAATACTTCTTACTTCGAAAGACCTAAACGAACAAAAAAAAAAAAAAATCAGGATTTCAAAAAAATCGACTCTTAAAACCTTCGTCCAGTTCACAAAAATCGATTCTCAAAATCTACAGATTGAAGAACTCTGCAATGCAAAAGCAAAGTCATTCCAGTCGATTGTGCTAATTTCAAAATAACTAAACTAACAGATTAATTAACGTAAGTTAACCTAAAACCATTAGGGACAAAATAGACAAATCAACTTGTTATTTAGGTTGGGCCATTTAAGTTGTGCTCATTTAAAAGTGGGTTTTGTACTAACCATTAAATAAACTTACAACATGATTTTTGGTTAAAACTAAAAGTTTTGAAGCATTTTTCATTTGTTTTACTGGTTCTATACATGCCACTTCAAGTAATGCTTAGAATGTACATGCCTACTAACACACAATTAACTTTTTAAATTGAATATGAAAATAAACGT